AGCAAACGCTTTTTCACAGACACTATATACTATACACTATGCAGAGACAGTGGAGGGCATTTTGTAACTTTAATTAGGGAACTATTGAGTGGTGGCCCAGGGTCTCACCATAGACACCCCTGCTTCACCTGTTACTGACTCCTGGAAGGACTTCCAGTTTACTCTTTGATATATTTCCTTAAGGTTTTTTTTTTTTGTTTGTTTGTTTAACCTGCAGCTATTCTGATAACCCTAAATACGGCTCAAATATTTAGGTCACATTAAAAAAAAATAGGCATAAGTACACATCTGTTTCTCTTTCATATCTGTTTATCCTGGTTTTAAGATTTTGAACTTTGATGTTCTATTGTAAATGCCATATACCTATAGAATAGCAGGTAAAACACATGCTTATTGTCAGCCGAATTATAAAGCAATTACTCATATAAATACCATTAGGTTCAAGAAATAGAATATTGCAATCACTGTAGAAGTCCTCAAGTGTCCCCCCCTCCCCTCATCAAAAATGCTTCCTCATCTCTAGAAGGAAACCATTTTTCTAAGTGTTGGGGTATGAACTGATAAATACAGTCAATAAGAGTGTAAGTTATAGGTTCTAGATTAGTAAAAAATTTAGAGATATAAGATTTTGATAAGTGAGATAAGATAATTATTAAGCAAGAACTGTCATATACTGGCCCAAGACTCCATTTTGCTGCCTCCTATAAAAAAAAAAAAAAAAAAAAAAAAAAACAACTGTTCCAAGAGCTCTTTCTGAGAAACTGAAATGAAGGCTATTTTCTTATAATATATTGTTTTCTGTACTTTGTACCTCACAAAATGTGCTCAACCCAGGTTATGGTGGTCTTGGTGACCCAAGACTTTGAAGTAGATTCTCGCCCCTGCTAACCACCTGCATGAACTCAGGATACAGTTGTCTAACACTTGCTCAAACCCAAGAAGCGATTGTCTTGAGTTGCTGTGCTAATTGCTATCTTAGCTTCTATGGTTGACTCGCTTGCATGATGCTAAGGAAAGTCCCTGAGCTGTGGTTTGTGTCCTTAAATTCCCAAGCCACAGGCCAGGAAATTGCTGTTCTCTTACATAGCTTCAGTCTCTATGGGTGGGTGACAGTCCCTGGCCAGGTAAATATAGCTCTCTTTGATTTGAATTCTGACATAGAGAGTTTTCTGAAGCAGCTCCCAATAACCCCTTGGGGGCTTGTTCGGGATGAAAGAGATATTTCTCTTCTTAGAAATGTGAGAATGCTCAGAAACACCCAAGAGACCTGGTGAGTCAGAGACAAGCTGGGGAAGGCCTCTGAGGAGAACTCCCCAGCCCTGGGTCCTCTCCTCATTAGCTCCTGCCAAACCTGCAAACTGCCTATTTGAGAGCATTTGCAATTTGCACCTGCGACTTAGTTCTCCCGGGAAAGGTAAGCTTGAAACTTGGAACTTGGTTTGTGTGGCTCCACAGTCTGAGGTCGTCAGGTAAGGCTGGATACAGCACATACTTCCCAGGGGGGGGGTGGTGGAAACTCCATCTAAATCTCTGGTCAGTTAGGTTTGTTTATGGCGCCTTGTCTGTTGTGTGTCTCACTGTTGGTCTCAGTCTCATTATGGGTCAAAATCAGTCTACTCCATGTTCGTTTTGTAAACCCCTTAAATGTTTTTTTTTTTTTTTTTTTTTTTTTTTGTCTAACTTTAAAGAGTTTTCAAAGAGAACAACTAATGATAAAACATCATGTGATGCTTCCTCTCTCAGAAAACTTGTGAATTAGACTGGCCAGGCTTTAAGTTGGATGGCCCCCAGAAGGGACCACCAGCCTCTCCACCGCCTATCAAGTTCATACCGTCATCTCCGGGTGGCCTGGCCATCCAGATCAGTTGCCCTATATACAGGTTTGGATTGAAATCCTCCTAGAAGAGCCAAGATGGTTAAGATTTTGCCTTACAGGAACAGCTAAAAAACCCAATCCAAAACTTGTCTTGCTAACAAAACCTTACTCCCTGAAGAAACAGGTCCTACAAGAGAGCTCCTAGGACCCGGATCTTCCTCCCCTGGATCCCTCTGTCCCTCAGGTGCCTAGTACCCCCTCGATGCCCAAGCCTTCCCATCCTACTCCCCTACACTTCCCCTCTGTCAGGCTCCCCCATCACATCGGGAGAAAGAGGAAGCCCTTTCATAATCTATGTTCCTTTTTCTACTAATAATTTCTCTGTTAAAATCAAAAGAAAAGCCCCCAAACTACTCTCTAGGCATTGATGGCCAACCCTCTGATGATCCAGCTCATGTGGAACTCATTTTCCCTTCAATTCGTCCCAACTGAACAAACACTAGTATGGAGGGGACTGATCAGTACGCCAGGCTCCATTGAGAGAGATCAAAGCAGCCAGTAGAAACCCCACCAATTTGGCAAAGGTAAGTGAGACATTTCAAGGACCAGCTGGGCCCCTGGCTGCTTTCCTGGAGTGCCTTCTCAAGGCTTATCATGTGTACACACCCATGGACCCCGAGGCTCCAGGGAATAGAAGCGCTCTTAATATTGCTTTTGTAACATAATCGGCCCCAGATATTAGGAAAAAGTTACAGAGACAGGAAGGATTCAAGGGAAAGATGCTGTCAAAATGGGTGGAAATAGCCCAAAGGGTCTACAATAGCAGAGACCCCCCAACAAAGAAAAACAGGCTAAAAGGTTGACAAGAGTCATGGTGATGGCTATGTCAGAGTCTCAAGGCATCCTAAGGCCTCAAGCCCCTGGACAACAACCCCCAAGAACTCTACTCCCTAAATAACAATAGCCCCCAGGAATGGAAACTAAGGGGCCAATTTCTAATGAGAACTGACTTAAAAAAGGGAGGATAACTCACGTGTTCCTTGTGAGGCACAGCTAACCTGTCATTAAAAGGGCCAGAAGCTTTTACACACACACACACACACACACACACACACACACACACACACACACTTGTCCAATTGAGGAAGAATACCTGCTCTTAACAAAAGACCCCTGTACCCCACCTTCTTATCTCCTCACCAGATTCCAAAAAAAAAAAAAAAAAAAATCCCAGGGGTTTGGGCAGAATCCAATTCTCCTGGCTTAGCGGAGCACCTGCCACCTAGTATAGTGCAGCTCAATAGCACTGCCACCCCTGTGCAGATCCGACACAATCCTATCAGACTGGAAGCTAAAAAAGTCATAGCATTCACATCCACAGGTTGCAGGGAAGCTGATATCCTGATCCCCTGTCAATCAGCCTAAAACACGCCATTGCTGCCTGTCCAGAAACCTGAGACAAAAGACTACGGATTGGTACAGGACCTAAAAGAACTCAACAGGAGGATGGAAAGCATTCAACCCACAGTACCAAATCCCTACACTATTCTCAGTTCATTGCCTCCTTTTCGCCAAGTGTACACTCTCCTGGATCTCAGAGATGCCTTCTTCAACTTGCCATCGGCTAAGCTAAGCCAACCAATTTTTACTTCTAAATGGTCAGATCCAGAAGGGAGATTTTTAGGACCATTGACTTGGACACAGTTGCCATAAGGATTTAAAGACTCTCCAACTCTATTTGATGAGGCCCTAAGCCGGGATCTCACAGCTTACAGGCAGCAACACCCTGAGACTGAACTTTTACAATATGTAAATGATCTCCTGACACCAACCCAAACTATGACTAAATGTGAACAGGCCACCAGCAACTTGTTAAAAACCTTAAAAACCTTAGGGTACCGGGTGTCAGCTAGAAAGGCCCAATTGTGCACCTCAACAGCCACCTACTTGGGCTACCACCTGAAAAAAGGAAAAAAGGACTTTGTGGCAGGACAGAATTAAAGCAATCATGCAGATTCCTCGCCCCAAGACTAAGTGTCGGGTACGAGAATTCCTCAGGGCCATTGCCACCTTTAGATCCTTGGTTTTGCTGAACTAGCCCAGCCCCTGTATGTTAGTACAGGGGGGAAAAAAGGACTCTCTGACTTGAACTGAAAAAACAAAAACAAACAAACAGACCAACAAAAACAAGAGACATTTGACAAACTGAAGCAAGCCCTAGTCTCTGCACCTGTATTGGCCCTCTCAGATGTTCTGAAGCCATTTCAGCTGTTTGTACATGAAATCAGGAGAATAGCAAAAGGATGCGAACTCAGACTGATGATGATCCCTCTGGGCCACTGCACGACTGCCAGGAAATATTGGAGTCACTCCAGAATGTCCAGTGGGACCTGATGGACACACCGTGGCCAGGCCCAGAAGAGACATGCTACTCTGATGGCAATAGCTACGTCCAAAATGGAATCAGGTATGTGGGGACAGCTGAAGTTACTTTAAATGAAGTTGTCTGGGCTCAACCTCTGGGACATGGAACTTCTGCACAAAAGGCAGAGCGAATTGCACTTACCTAGGCTCTCAGACCCCGCAAAGGAAAATCTATTAATATCTATACTGAAGTGGGTATGGTTTTGCTACTGTTCATGTACAGACAGGGAGATCTCTATAAAGAATTTACAGGAACAGACTACAAAGAAAAACACCAAGAGAAACATAAGAAGTGGACTTCACTAAAGTAAAACCTAGACAATATGGTTATAAATATTTGCTGATGTATGTGGACACTTATTCAGGAGATAATTCCTCAATTTGGCCTCCCAATAGCCATGGGTCCAATATGGCCCAGCTTTCATAGCTAAGATAACTCAAAAATTTTCTAAAGTCTTTAGAATTAAATGGGACCTATGTTGTATAGGCCATAGAGTTTAAGACAAGTAAAAAGGATAAATAGAAATCTAAAAAACACCCTGACTAATTACACTTGGAGATTGGCATAGACTGGACGGGTCTTCTTTTTCCCTTTGTTCTAAGACCACCCCTGCTGGTTCCCAGACTAAAAGATAAAAAACTAGCTGAAATAAGTGACCACTCATTTCTTAAGTCCTTTCAGGCTCTCCAGCAAGCCTCCCACAGACTCAGGCTTTAACAAAGAGTCCGGCAGCTAGTTGCGGGAGATAACTTCACTCACCTATTCCAGCCGAGCCATTATCCATTCACCTTGGGACCTGGCGGGCACAGACCCTTTCCAGCCATCCTGACCACTTCTACTGCTGTAAAAGTCACTGGAAAACAACATTGGATTCATCACTCCCAAATCAAGAAGCCCGCTCCAACAGAAGATACAGCCGAGGACAACCGACGATGAACAGTATCCTAGATTTTTACTTTCTGTTTTGTTTCCCTTTCAGACATGCACGCTGCACACAGCTGTACTTGGAAATTCCTGAAGCCAGAAAAAGACAGGAAGCCTGCTTTTAAAGATTAGACTGCTGGTCCTTGAAAAATATGATTATGACATGGTCAACTTAGATAACACGAGACTTAAATAAACAATGATTTGATTTAGTCTCATAAAACCAGTGGGGAATGTTGTGGTGTGAACTGATAAATACAGTCAATAAGAGTGTAAGTTATAGGTTCTAGATTAGTAAAAAATATATATTAGAGATATAAGATTTTGATAAGTGAGATAAGGCAATTATTTAGCAAGAACTGTCATAGACAGCCCTAAGACTTCATTGTGCTGCCTTCTATAAAACACTGTTACAAGAGCTGTTTCTGAGAAACTGAAATAAAGGCTGTTTTCTTATAATGTATTGTTTTCTGTACTTAGTACCCTACAAAATGTATTCAACCCAGGATATGGTGGCCTTGGTGATCCAAGACTTTGCACTAGATTCTCGCCCCCTACTAACCACCTGCTTGAAAACTCAGGATATGGTTGTCTAACACCTGCTCAGGTCCAAGATGCGATTGTCTTGAGTTGCTGTGCTAATTGCTATCTTAGCTTCTATGATTGACTTGCTTGCATGATGCTAAGGAAAGTCCCTGAGCTGTGGTTTTTGTCCTTAAATTCCCAAGCCACAGGCCAGGAAGTTTCTGTTCTCTTACATAGCTTCAGTCTCTATGGGTGGGTGACAGTCCCTGGCCAGGTAAATAAAGATCTCTTTGATTTGAATTCGGACTTAGAGTGTTTTCTGAGGCAGCTCTCCATAACACTAAGCTTGATGTAATGGTGTAAACAATACAGTTTCACTTTGTCTTTTAAAAATGTTGCATAAATAAAATCAAACTACATGCATCATTTTGTCTTGCTTCTTCAACAGTATATATGTGAGATTCACCCAGGTTGCTCCACATAACAGTAATTTATGCATTCTCTATTCCTCATATTCCATTGAATGAATATTACAATATATTTATCTATACTGTTGTAATTAAACATGTGTATTGCTTTCAGTGTTTGCCTGTTGTAATATTGCAAATTCTTAGATGTGTCTTCCAAGAGATTTGTCAGTTTTTGAAAGTGGTACCAATCTACATTTCCTCCTGTATTGTATGAGCATTTCAATTGCTCTGCATTGTCACCAACAGTTATATTACTATTCTTTAACATTTAGCCTTTCTAAGGGGGATATGTGGAGATTATCTCATCATAGTTTAAATTTATGTTTTCCTGATTAATGTTGAGGTTTAACATCTATTCATGGTGACTACCTTTTGTTGATGCTTTATTGTATAGTATCAAGTCTTTTTTTTTTTTTAAAGAGAGAGTGAGAGAGAGAGAGAATTTTAATATTTATTTTTTAGTATTTGGCAGACACAACATCTTTGTTTGTATGTGGTGCTGAGCATCAAACCTGGGCCGCATGCATGCCAGGCGAGCGCGCTACCGCTTGAGCCACATCCCCAGCCTCTGTATAGTATCAAGTCTTTTTTTTTTTTTAAAGAGAGAGTGAGAGAGAGAGAGAATTTTAATATTTATTTTTTAGTATTTGGCAGACACAACATCTTTGTTTGTATGTGGTGCTGAGCATCAAACCTGGGCCGCATGCATGCCAGGCGAGCGCGCTACCGCTTGAGCCACATCCCCAGCCTCTGTATAGTATCAAGTCTTTTCTGGGGATCTTTACAACAATAAATTTGGAAATATAGAGGAAAAGGATAGCTTTCTAAAGTTGTAGAACTTATTGAAGAGAATTTAACATCTGAACAGTCCTATAATTATTAAAGAAAACTACAGAGAATGGCAGCAGGTTCTGTGTTCTAGATTCTTCTACAAAGTATTCAAATACTTTGATAATTCCAATCTTACATAATTTCTCCCTCCATGTGTCATAGAAAGAATATCACAGTTGGTAAATCATTTTTATTGGGCTAGTATAACTTTGATCCTAAAAGCAACCTAGAAAACAAATTACCAATATCCTCTAACAACTTAAGTCATTAAATAAGACAAAACAAATTGGCAAAATGACTCTAGCTATATACTTAAAAATATTTCTTGATCAAGTTAAATTTTTGCAAGGAATGCAAAAATATTTAAACGTTGAAAATTATATTATTGCAATTCATCATAATAACCTGTAATGTTCAAAACTGTTGGGAAAAAAAAAGCTTTTCAGTAAAATCCAAAGTCCATGTAAGCCCCAAACCAAACAAACCACCCACTGAAACCGAAAAAAGCAAACTTAGCAAACTAGGAATAGAAGGGAATTACTTAGTCTGATAAAGAGTCCCTAATAAAAACCAACAGAAAAACCATTCCAAAAGGTGAAATAGCAAAAGCTTATTTATCCCTTTAAAATCAGAAGTGAGTCAAGGGTAGACATCATTACTTAACTAAACTATTCAACCTTAGAGTCCTAGCCAGTCCAATTAGTTGTTAAAAGAAAGATTATAGAGAAGAATTTAAAAGTGCGACTATTCACAGAGAACATGATTACTTACATAGAAGAAAACTCCCAAAAGAATCTAAAGAGAAATGAGGAAAATTTATAAAAGTTCAAGTTATAAGAGGCATATACCAAAGCCATGTGCATATTTATATCCTGACAACAATTAGAAAATGAAAGATATTTTAAATGACATTCACAATAACAGTTACAAAAAGAAAAAAAAAGGATGTAAGAGTAAATCTAACAAAAAATGTTGAAAAAAATTTAGGGAAAAATTATTTAACTTATAATAGACATTAACTAATAAGATCCAAATCTTTCCCCAAAGGAGAGCTATACTGTGTCCATGGGCCAGATGATTAAACATCACTAAAATGTTGATTTTTTTCAAACATAGGTTCAACACCCCAACATATGGGGGCAGGCAATGACTTTCTCAATAGACCCCTAAAGCTCCGGAGATAAGGCCAAGAGTTAATAAATAGAATGGCATCAAATGAAAAAGCTTATGCACAGCAAAGGAAACGGTTAAGAATGTGGAGAAAGAACTCATAGAATGGGAGAAAATCTTCACTAGCTACTCTTGTGACAGAGGATTAATATCCAAAATGAAAGGAAAGTGACCAAGACACTCAGAGCCACCAAGAGATCTTTATTGCGGTGGTGTCTGATCGACAGGGAAGGAAGAGAGAGAGAGAGAGAGAGAGAGAGAGAGAGAGAGAGAGAGAGAGAGAGAACAGAAAGAGAGAAAAAGGGAGGTGAGAGAGAGGGAGAGAGAGAGAGGGAGAGAGAGAGATGAAAGAGTGAGAGAGTGAGGAGGGCCCGGCAGAAGAGAGTTTTTATAGCCAAAATCTAATGGGGTCTCTGGGTCTGCAAGCTGCCTTGTTGGTGTACAATGATTGGATCATACAGTAGTTGCTAAGGGTGTCATCTTCTGCCCTCAGGCTGACTGGGCAGATGTTGGTTGTGGGTTTCTGTGGCACCAGGCGGGTGGGAGTTGAGTGTTCAGCCTTGAGTGGGGTTGAGTGTTCAACCTTGAGACAAACAAGTGATAAGGAACCAGACAGATGGGGGCTGCAAAATTCACAATTAGCCAAACTAGGGAACCAGTCTACATGTTCATCAGTGGGTGAACTGATAAAGACAATGTGGTGGGTGGAGTTTTATTTAGTCCTAAAGACGAATGAAATTATGTCATTTGCAGGACAATAGAACTTGAAAACAGTATGTTAAGCAAAATAAATCGAATTCAGAAAGTCAAGGGTTGTATATTTTCTCCCACATGTGGAAGCGAGAGAGGAAAAAGGGGAAAGAAAGGTGGGTGTGTGTTGGTAGGGATCTCCTAAAAACCAACAGGAGATCAGCAGAGTAAGGGACCAGGGGGAGGGAGGAGGAGAGAAAAGGAGGAAAAACTGGGATATGATATTGGTCAAATTATATTGTTATATTGTGTGCATGTACAAATATGTAACCACAAATCCCACCATTATGTACAACTATAATGCACCATTAAATATGCAAAAATGTCAATTCTCCTTCAATTAATCTTCAAGCACTATGAAATTTCAGTCAAAATCATGATGGATGTTTTCAAAGACTTCATTTTCAAGCTTGGTTCTAGAATTTGAACAGAAGAGCAAAGGGCCAAAGTAACCAAGAAAATTTTAAAGATCAAGTTGAGGTGGGATTTTCCCTACTAAACAGCTTTTTTTTTTTAAAAAAAAACCTATAGTAATAATAAAGAAAACTATAGCAATCAAGGCAATGTGCAGAAACTGGCCACCTAAATGGACCAATTGGTACCCAGAAATATGGTAAGTGAGGGTGATATACTGAAGATTTTTAGAAAAGATAGAGTTATCAAAAATTGCTCAAGGATTATAAACCACCCAATAAACAACAGTCCCCTATCTTAATTTCCTGTAGAATAAAGGAAAACAAAATTTAGAAACTTTTTGAAGTACATACTTAGAGGACATAAAGATCTATGTGGTTTGAAAAAGGAAAACACAAAATAGGAGAAGGTGTCATTAACCCATTTAAACTAAGAAAAGGTTAATAGACTATATGAATAACTTGTACAAATCAGTCAGAAAATCATAAACAACCCAATAGAAAATCATAAACAACCCAATGGGTGAAAGATATGATTCAGCAATTTATAGAAGAGAGAATATTAACTTTTTTTGTGTGTGTGTACTAGGGATTGAACTCAGGGGCACTCAACCACTAAGCCACATCCCCAGCCCTATTTTCTATTTGATTTAGGAACAGGGAGGGTCTCACTGAATTGCTTAGCGTCTCACTTTTGTTGAGGCTGGCTTTGAATTTGTGACCCTCCTGCCTTAGCCTACCTAGCTGATGGAATTACAGGCATCTATCACCATGCCTGGCCTGATGAGTTTTTGAAAAGATGGGGTTCAACCTCACTTGTAATCCAGAAATGAAAATGACAGTCAAAATGATGTGGCACTATATGGCTGTGAGATTTGCATGTTCTGGAACTTCTGAAATACCAAGTGTTGATATACACGTGGACCAATAGGGACAAATGTTACTGCTGCTATTGGTAGAAATTAGTACAACCACTTTGGAAGCAGTTTGGCATTAAAGACTATGTTTTATTTGGCAATTCTACTTCTATGTGCACTAACTAACAGAGAAACACGTATCTAGAACACTGATATGTACTGGAATACTTACAGAAATACCATTTGAAAACAAAACCAAATAGAATCACCTCCATCTGACCTTAGTGAATTATTGAACAAATTACACTGGAGCCATCCTGTGGAATACTATATAGAAGTGAAAATGAATGGACTAGAGTTTGGCAAACTTCAGCTTTCAGCCAAATCTGGCCCATTATTTAATTTTGTATATCTCAGAACTAAGAATGGTTTATAAAATGGACCTTTGCAATAGATAAGGAACTCTAACTTTGGTAGTATTCCATTCAAAAGGACTCCACTCTTCTAGACTTGTATTACCACAAAAATTGTATTATTATTGTTGCATTTTGAATTTCATCAATAGAGATTTTTGGAAATTTTTCATTCCCTTTTATCATATAAGTGCTACATAATATTGTTAATTTTCTTCTTGGCCCACAAAGCCTAAGTATTTACTATTTGACTCTTTACAGAAGGAGGATTTACCATACACCCTCATCAGATTGAGCACTAATCCTCTGGATATAAAAAGAACTCGAAAAACTTGGCACCAAAAAGACAAGCAACCTAATCAACAAATGAACCAAGGAACCACACAGATACTTCTCAGAAGATATACGATCGATCAACAAATATATGAAAAAATATTCAACATCTGTAGTAATTAGAGAAATGCAAATAAAAACTACTCTAAGATTTCATTTCACTCCAGTCAGAATGGCAGTTATTAAGAATACAAGAAATAAAAAGTGTTCTAGAGGATGTGGGGGAAAGGGCACACTCATACATTGCAGGTGGGACTGCAAATTGGTGCAATCTGGAAAGCAGATTGGAGATTCCTTAGAAAACTTGGAATGGAAGCACCATTTGACCCAGCTATCCCACTCCTTGGTCTATACCCAAAGGACTTAAAAACAGCATACTACAGGGACACAGCCACCTTAATGTTTATAGAAGCACAATTCACTATAGCTAAACTGTGGAACCAATCTCGATGCCCATCAATAGGTGGATGGATCAAGAAACTGTTATATATACATATGGGATAATACACAGCAATAAAAGAGAATAAAATTATGGCATTTGCAGGTAAATGGATGGAGTTGGAGAATATCATGCTAAGATAAATAAGCCAATCCCCCCAAACCCAAAGACTGAATGTTTTCTCCGATAAGTGTATGCTGATCTATAATGGTGGGCAGGGTATGGGAAATATGGAAGAACTCTGGATTGGGTAAAGGGGCGGGAAGGGAAGGACAGGATCATGGGGATAGGAAAGACGGTAGAATGAGACAGACATCATTACCCTAGGTACATGTATGATTGCACAAATGGTGTGACCCCACTACGTGTACAACCAGAGAAGTGAAAAATTGTGTTCCATTTGTGTGCAATGAAACAAAGAGCATTCTGCTGTCATGTATAACTGTTTAAAATAAATAAATTTAAAAAAATATGAGGGAACAATTACAGAGCCTCTTTAAGAGCCCCAGTCCATTGGGCTACTGGGTGCTGCTGGGTGGTCTGGTGCTGATTTGGGCCTTTCCTCGGGGAACCAGGAGAGCCTGTGGCTGGCATGTGGCTGCAGACTGTCTTGGAAGCAGCACGAGTCAGTATTTTCCAGCTTGGGCCCCGAGAGAGTGAATGCACTCTATCCCCTAAATGCTGCAAGAAGCCTCAGCCAGCAAAGGATGCCACGGGTCAGCTCAGGGAGTAGAGAATACCCCAGACTCAGATGAGAGTTTATTGTAACTTGGGGTTTCTTTTTAGTCTAGTTTCCTTTTTGCCCCTACCCCTTTATGCCTGAAGGGTCTCAGAGAAGCTTACCTGGTCCGGGGGCATCAGACACACTCTCCAGTGTCGCAGAGGAAAACCAGGAAGAGCAATGAGGAAGGAACCACATGGGACCAAGATCCAGGTGAATGCTCAAGGCTGGGCTGCTGACACCAGCCCAGGTGCACACAACCCTAGCCCGAGCTTGCATCTCTCATCCCGCTGACTTTTTCTCAACCCCGAGGTGCTGCAATTGGGCGGCTCTATTAAATTAGGACACACTCCTCTAGGACCAAGGCACACTTTCTGTCCCAGAGAGAAGGTTCCTAGAATAGTGGAGGAGTTAGTAAGGAGACTCTGCATTGTACCCTAGGCTGAGAAAGAGTCACTGAGAAAGGTTATTGAAAATGTCACACACCCCAGACAGAAATGAAGTTACAAAATTCTTCAGCTCTGGGAACCGGGAGGCACGAGACCATGGTCACATAGGTCATTTTGACCTAGTGTGGTAGGTTTCTGCAGATTGCTTAATGCTATGAAGATAATGAATAACCTCATTGAAAGTCTTTTCCTTCTTATCACAATTTCTAACTGGGTCATACAACATAAGTGACCCACCGCTGATTAATATCCTGTGTTGTTATTGTCAACGAATATAATTGCAACAACCAGTTTGCAGTTTCCTCATTCTCCTTTTAAAAAATATCCCAGACCTGTGGGAGTACCAATTCTAAGTTGTGGAGAGGAGAGGAGAGCCCGGTCATTGGCTGATCCTGTGGTGCTGGCAAAAGCCAAGCCTGGGAAACATTCCTTTTCCAAAAGGCGAAGATGTTAACAGCCTTGACACTTGGCTCTGACACTAACAGTTATCACACATTCCAGTACAATGGGCTTCCTGGGTACAGAGGGATAATTGTAGGATGTTCCTAGCACTGTTGAACAGCAGGATAGCCACAAAAAGTTTATAGCTCTGTAACTTTTAGTGCACAAAGAAGCCTCTTGATAACTCCCAAGCCTTGAAAACTCACAACTTACAATGTCCCTATAGTTTCACTTCCTAATTATGAGACCCTATATAATAAACGTGTGAAGCTAGTTCTGGGTCACTGTTCCTCCATCAGAGTGCTGTGTCCCCCCTGGCCCCAGCTTTACTTGAAAATTTGTGTTTTCTTTGTGTTTTTCTCCATCTCCTGTCACCCTTACTCAAGATCCTTTGTTGATGCTGCTTGGCACTAAGTATCTAGAATTTGTCCCCCACCCTGGGCAATCATCTACCCATTGCCTGGAATAAACTTTATCCCCATACAGGGTGTGCCTGAGCTCACCTTCCAGGTTGACAGCCCAAGGAAGGACAAACTTGGAGAAGGTTCCTATTGATAGGGATGTGGTCAGACTAGTCCTGACCTGGAGCTGATGGGCCAGCAGTGAGCCATCCTGGATCAAAAACCAGTGGTATGGGTATTTGGAAGGACAAGAGGCCTTCTGAGCACCTGAGCCATGTGCAGGTGGTGTGGCAGCTCAATATGTGATCGTAGGGGCTGCAAGCTGGGCAGAAGCTTAGAGAGAGACTTGGACAGCAGGCATGCAGAGCACATAGGCTGCTCCAGGACTCACGGTGCTGAAAAGGTTGCCAGCACACCCAGGGCGCAGAGTACCCAGCGGGTGCTTGCACTGCACTGCACTGCCCTCTGCTGGCCCATGATGGAAATTGCAAGAGTGTCCCTCCTTGCAATGTCCTTCAGGCACCTTGTACCAAGACAGTTATCATGGTGCTCCTTATAAAGGAGAGATGCTTCAAGAATTTATGCCAGAGCATATATACTCAAGCACTGCTTAAGGCTGGGACACTTTCCAAGAAGCGCATGTCGTTGGGTGATTTCCTCGTGTGAACATCGTAGCGTGTGCCCTGTGACATGGCCTTGATGCAATCAAGAGGTAAAGAAAACATAAGGTCTGGCCTGGCAACACAGCATACTGTTTTGTAGTAGGTCACCTTGATCCTGCCCTTGGGGCTGAGCTGGACTTTCTTGGCCCCATAGCTTTCTTTATCCCTCCATGTGGGCCTTGCAGGAATTGAGGCTGCTGGCCAAGTCCCCTTAGGGACTTCCAGCTCAAACACCTGTGATTCTAGGACTGGGGCAGAGTGAGTCCTCAGTCAGGCCTAGTGACACAGAGTTGTGAGAACCCAAAACCCTGCACTCACTCCTTTCCTTTCCAGGGGACAGGCCAACCTCCTTCTCTCCTCCCCTTTCTGTCTTTCTTCTCTCAGGCAGACCTTAAAAGATTCTGAAGAAGTTTCTCTGGGACATTTTTTTCCCCCTAGGTTCCTACCTGTGCCCTTTCTGGGTGAAGCATAGAGAGTGGAGTTCTGGCCTCGGTCTCTCCAGAATCCTCCTGGTTTCATCCATTCGGTTGCCTTGGTTCCTCCTCTGGGAAGAAGTGAGTGCCCAGCTACAGCCTGAAGGCCTCCTCAGACATCTGCACAAAGCAGAAGGTCCTTGCTCAGTGGGCTATAGCACAGGTCTGGCCCACATCCAAGGCGGTTCCAAGCTTCAGCCTGAGCAACGATTGTTGAAGGGTGGATTTGACTTTGCCTTGGTTTCTGCAACCAGCAAATATAGTGCGCCATCGACTGATGGCATGACAGCAGTGAACGTGGATGCCAAAGCTCGGAGAAGACGACTTTACCTGTGTGAGTGTCAAGACCTATGGAAAGTGAGGGAATTGGTCCATGTCAACAGTTCTGTAAGGGGTGAAGGTCTGGGCCAGGGGAGAATTTGGTTTGGGGTGCCTCCTGTAGGCTCTTATAACTCTTCCTAGGAGCCATGTTGGGGCCTCTGCCTACTCCTCCCTCCCCAGCTTGGCCTGTGACCTCAGAGTCCCTGTGATTACCATGAAGTGAATACATGGTCCCTCACTGACAGCTGGCAGCCGCACACCACACCCTACCCTCTTTCCTACCAGATTGTCCTGTCCATCCCTGAGGAAGAGCTTCCCACCCCACCTTCCCTCCCTCCCTCGGTCCAGGGGAGTTTCTGCTCATTCTTTCTCCCCAGCAAGGAGCTCTGCCTTGCTCCCAGTGAGCAGTGTCACAATTCTCACAGCTGGCTTGGGCCCAGAGGACTGTGGGCCCAGAGGAGAACAAAGCTGGGGGCCAGTCAGCAGCCCTTATGGTGACCTTCTGTCACCTGCCTCTGGTTTGGCCAGGCTGCACCTCTGAGCTTTCTGCTACCAGCTCCCTTGATCTTTGAAACTCCAACTGGGCCCTGGATTGCAGTCTAAATGGGTCCATAATTTAATTATCAAAGGGAAGGAAGAAGGTTCATTCCCCCTGCCCTAGCAGGTGCTGGGGAGTCAGAGGGGTTGGCTGGGTACAGAGGAGAAGGGTGGGCACATGGCCCAGGGGCCAGGCTTCTACATCCTGTGAACCTTTCTCCCCAGCCCAGCGTGGGAGAGTTTACCTGTCTGGCCACAGGCAGTGGAGGGGAACGGCCGGGAGACAGACAGATTGGACCAGCTCCATCTATCAGCACACACTAGGAATGTTTGACTTCACTCTTCTTTGTTTCCTTTTTCCTCCTGCAGACACCTCTGATTTCCTGCTTCACCAACCGCAGCTAACTGATGGACAACCGCCTTCTCCTTTCAGTAAACTCTTTTGTTCATTGAGGCCTGCAGACAATGCAGGGTGACCCGTGAGGTTATGAATAAACAATGTTCCACATTGCACCCAAATCCTTCTGAGGTTTGTGAATGTGCCTATTGTCCTTGAAGCCAGGACATAAATTTCCTGCTGGGTCTCTCACCTAGAGGCCAGGACGAGGTCACCAATCAATCATGAAGTTTAGCTAACACCCATAGGCAAGCTCAGTACCAGATCTGGCTAGGGCAGAGAAAAAAAATCTCAGCCCCCTCTGAGTCTATGAGTAAGGATGGAATCATGCAGGAAGGAGGGCAGGTGGTCTTCAGTCCTTGGAGCAGAAGGCTGGAATGGAGGTTTGGCTACACCTGCTGCTTCCACAAGTACAGGGCAGGAGTGTGTCAGAAAGGTTAGAGTCCGACTCCAAGGGGTGGTTAGGAAAATGGTGGGACCCCAGACTTCCACAGATGTGATGTGAAGCGTCCCACAAACCCCCCAGAGTTGGACCCGGCATTTTGTGTCAATAGATATGGGCATTGTCCTAGGGAGGTCATGGAACCATGGTTCACAGAATAATTCTCACTAAAGTTCCAGACCTCTCCCTTTGACTTCTGCAGTGTCGGTGCCACCCTGAGTGGCACCCAGGGGAGTTTGTTCCCTCACCTGGGTGTCCAAGATCCGCCAGTCTCACTATGTCCAAAATGGAGCTCCGGATTTACCTCTTCCCCATTTCAGTCACTGCAACTCCCTCCTTCCAGTCTCGGCCCAGACACTGGGTGCCATTCTCCACTCCTCTCCTTCACACCCCAGGTTTCTCCACCTTTAGAATGTCTGACATCCAATCTGCCTCGCTACTTCTCAACTCCTGTCCTCATCTAAGTTCCCTCCTCTCTCTCCTGCATTATGGACGAAGCCTTGGGAATCACCTTTCTGCTCCTCTCTGCCCCTTCTCCTCAGTCCTTCCTCAGCCCTTGTAAGGGCTCCGCTTCCCTCAGGGTAAAAGCCGAAGTTCTGTTGCTTACCCACCAGCTCCCACACATCCTGTCCCTATGATCCCTCTCTCGATCCTTTGGTTCCAGCCAAGCCCATCTTGTGGAGGTGGCTGGAGGATCCCTTGTGGGGGGGAGTGGGGGAGCTTTTCCTGCCTGTTTTAGGTCCTGTTGTTCCTTCTCCAGAGCTGTCACTGGTGGAAGGCAGGGCCCCCACCATTTATAGAGCACTGGGTACAAGGGTGGTCCTTCATGCCTCTGGAATCCCTATGGTCAGTGGACATTCCTATCTCCTCTAGAGGGAACTGCGGGCTCCCTTATCTGCTGTCCTCAGGGGCAGGGACCGAGTCTGACTCACACTGGTGACCTCAATACTCCACAAAGACCTGGGCCACAGTCAGTCTTCCATGAGGATGTGTTCAGTCTAGGGAAAACCTCTCAGTGCCAGGAGTCAGGGAGCCTGATTCTACCTCCCCAAAGAGAAGGTCTGGGTCGGCTCTCTGCTGCCCTGGGCTCGGAGACCCTGTCTGTAAAATGGCAACAAGGAGAACTTCAGCTCTGAGAGAGTTTGATTTTCTTGGTCAAATTATGTCACAGGAGCAATCTCAAGCCAAGATGTTTCCAAATATCCTGGAAATTGCGGATTCTTTCCTCCATTTCCAAATA